CGTTCGAGATACGCCAGACACCTGCGATAATTAAAGATAAATGTATTGGGATTTAATTGGACCGAGGGGGGAATTTAAACCGAGATCTTCGCCTTATCAATAATCTGATATTATTAGAATGTTGCCAACATTGCTTACACGAACGTAATATTATAATATACGAGTGTAATTTTCAATGACGGTAAGTTATAACACACAGTAATTAAACTGTTGCATGTATAGATTTATGATACAATAAGATGTCGCATGAAACGTGCTACATTATGTATCATTGTACATGTTAACCTGCATAGAGTGAAAACCCTTTATCTTGTTTGCAAACGTAAATCAATTTGTCTATCCTGCTGCTAAAATGGAGCATCTACTTATATTGTCGCGAGTTAATAATAGAAAAATATTTAAATAGAAAAATACTTACAATTAGTAATGAACGTATTACTTACTCTCGATACTTTATATCTTTTGGATCATTGCTCGAGCAAGTTAAACCGAAAGATTAAGTCTGAAATTATTGTGTAAAAGATTATATTTTGAGTCAGTCTTGAGTCTGATATCTTTCAAATACATAGACGAAGCCATTCTATATGGGTCTTACTTTTAAAATAATGAGAAGTCTTGAAAAATTTGAACAACACAAGAAAATTTTTTATTTCATATAGAGAAAATCGTTTTATTTAATATTTCAATTCTCTACAATCAGATTTTTTATTAGTTAGGAAATAAATTGTTAGTTTGTTGTAGCTATTTACTCAGATTTAAAACCTGGAATTTTATTATAATTTATTTGGTATATTTTCTTAATGATGTATTTATGAAAGACAGTAGCGAAGCAATAAGTATTTTCAAAATGTGGATGTATGAATATGTAATTTTCAGGTTACATTATATATAATATTAAAAAAATGTGTGAAATTCATATATATTAAGATGTAAGCAACAATGAATAATTTTATGAAATATTTCAAGAAAAATAATATATTTTCTATAGTTTTTATTCTTTGAAGAGTTCTTCCCTCTTAACTTTCTTCTAGGTTTAAATAACCAAGCGTTTCTATACATTTTCTATAATTCACATTAAATCTATCGATGTTTAATATATGAAACTCTCAACAAAAAAAATGAAAGTCTATGATGTAGAAAAATATTAATAATATTTACGAAGAACACAAACTTTTATTAGAAAGATTCTTCAAATCTCTAAAAATAAATCATTATAAATCTGTAAAATTTTTCTGAAAAATTCACTAATTTGACCAGACTCAATTTTAATGTTAAACACTCTAGCACAACTTTTTCATTTTACTTTTGAAAAAAGATTCCTGATTCTTGTCTTGCACCGAGCGATACCTATTAATCGGTGCCAGCATGCAACAGAGTAGAAATTCATTTAACCGCTATCCGTCTATCTGTGAAATGATTTCTTAATGCTAACGCTTTAGCTTCAGTCTTATCCAGCAGAGCACGAGTTTTCGTTTAACATTAACGTTCGAGTTAACGCTATCGTGCGCCAACGCCGATCAGAAAATCATTTGAATTGCAAAGACCGCGCCATTATTGCACACCCCTTGATCCGTATCAATTCGCTTTTGAAACTAGGAGGATAGTCATCCACGCTTGATCGTCGCATTTACATTTTTTACGCAACGATACGTTGTCGAGTGCTGACCAAAGAGAGAAAAGAAAGAAAGGGTTGCAGCATATGGCGGTTATATCGCGTATATCTTATCTGAGCATTGCTCGTAAATCTACGAAATGGTGCGTATCGAAGATTCACGCGAAACGCATCATGCATCTCGGCCAGTATTAGGGGAGCACGTGTAAGCGATTTCGTTCCTTTTCTCTAATGAGTTTCCACAGATAAATGGAAAGCATCGTCTTTCTAAGTATTTATCGCTTATAGGAGAGACCGGACAAGTTGATACATTTTTAATTCTTGTTTGAATTGGCTAGTTGGCAAAAAACATGTCGGAACGTATCAAGAGAATCAAGTAGACTAGTGCCTGGAAAAGATACCGACATTGTTGTGTAATTATTCATGAAATATTTCAATATGAATAATTACAAGAAAACATTCGCAATAAATAGGTGAACATTGTCGAGAGAAAACTTTCATAATTGCACAATTCCTTTGAAACGTAGAAAAATTTCTTCACAGAATATGAAGAGCAAAATGTGTAGTACGAAAATGTCTAACTTTCGGCAAAGCACAATGCGCTTTATGAATGCATCAATGATAAACAAATTATCGAGAGCAGCAAAAGTTTTACAATATTATTTACAATTATTCAGGCGACTTAAATCGGCCAAATATTGCCCATTATGCGACGTAGCTTCCCAATCGCTTTGATCGCTTACGAAAGCTTGCCAATTTTTTTTTTTTTTTCTTTTTTTTATTATGCAAATTGCTAACGAATACGGTCACTCGGCTGGCAATCGCGACCTACACGGTACGATGCTGTAATAAAGAGGCAAGTTCTATTAATCCTTCGCGCGACATTGCAACACGGCATGTAGGCCGCTGGTTAAGTCCGCGAACCACGTACGGTTCAATATACCTGTTCCTCGTTCAATTTACCTGTACCTCCGTAGTTAGAAAAATGAACGTCTGTATCCTACACAAATTACGGCAATGAGTTAAGGTTGCAATAAACGCGTTGCAGAGCACGCGGCATGAATTATATATAAGAAAGGGATGTTACATGACTATAAATTAAATGTGATTTTTGGATCTCGTTAATGAGTCCTTTGGTGAGCTATTGAAGTTCACACGACGATACATTACGGAGTTTAAGTCCCATTTGAACGAAATAAGGAATTATTATTACTGCACGAGAATTTTTTTTGAGTAGTAATTTTGATATTATTTATTTATTATTTTAAGTGCCTGTGGAAGGTTCAAATTTAATTTACACCTGGAGTAAGCCATGTGTAAGTTGCGAATATTTATGCGATTTTATATTTTTATGAAAATAATTCCAAAAAATGGAAAATTATTTTATCTACTGAGTATTATAAAAAGTATTTTATATATTAAATATTATGCTTGTGGATTGAGTGGATTTTTGCACCTACAGCTTTTTCCATAAATGTATAAAAATTGGTGTATATGTAATCTTGTTTTTCGAGTGTATCTTTGATCGTGCGTGGCTTCTTCAAATTATATATTTAATTTAAGTAATTTCAGAGGAAGCCGAACAAACGGGAGTTCCAACCAAAAGATTGTCTGATCTCCTATCGATTTCAGATGTAGTTTTGCAGCTGCCTTAGCTTGCAAATATGACAGCAGTATACACCAGCTAGTCCTGATATCCGGAGGTGGTCCAACACCTTTAGCAGCACCTAGCACCGAAAGCGCTGGCCACTGTTGCCTCAGAGCGATCCTGGCACCTTTTTTAATGTGCGGCCTTCACAGAGACATCTTATATTCAGCGAGGGGCCGTCAACACCCTTACTGCGGCCCCGAGCCGCCAGAACAATGGCCTTCGCACATGAAATACGTTTTGGACGGCATGGTCTGGCCGGAAGGAGATTACGTGTTCCATAGAAGGATATGTACACCGACGCTTCTCATACATGGCCTAAGGGACAACAAAGTGTCGCTCGTGCAGGAATGCCAAATGGAAAGGGTACGTTGCTTCTTTTTAAGCTTCCTTTCGAATAGGCTTCGAGAATCATGCAAATATATATAGGCATTAATTCTCATAATTTCTATTTCAGGTAAGGAAATTATCTGCATAAAATATCCAGAGAGTTCTTTTAATGAAATTGTAAATTGGGAACAGTTGAAGAAAATCTTCGTGCAAATTCTAGATGAAACTTACGATGAAAACACTTGCTATAATCATTTATATTAAACATTTTTTTCCCCCAGTAGTTCTATTGACGTAGAAATACTTTCAATTTATTTTCAAGTACGAATATTCGAAAGTCTTAAATTTCTCAGAAGGTCGTAGTTTTAGAGTAATTTTCATTTCATTTTTTCAATATTAATTGTAATCATTATATTTTGTGTTTTAGACCATGATGAAAGCTTTTCTTGAAGCGATCCCAACTGCTGGTCATACCCCTATGACTGATTGCCCAAAGCAAGTTAATCACATGATACATTGTTTCATAGACTTGTGGAAAAACAAGAAATGGTAGCGATAAAATAAGTAGAAACATGTGTTTGCTAAAAAGACAATTTACGGACCATGTAATTGTACGATTATATTTAAATCAAGTTCTTTGTACGGGTATTTCACTCATTGTACATGAGAGAACAAAAGGTTGTTTGCCATGGCAAATTGAACACATCGAGACAAAGACTAAGATCTATTGTACATAATCAAGATTTTATGGTAGTAAAAATTCATTTGTATAGAGTACTATTTTATACAATTGAAATGAAGTAACCAAGTTTTTGTATAGTTATTTTTTTATGGAAAAAAAAAATGTTTTTTAATGCCATGTAGCAGGAAGAGAAACCAACAGGACGCTCGTGTTTTTAAAGTTGTATAAGTCTGCAGAGTAACTGTGCCAAAACGTACACGATTGTTAGGCTGTTCTCTTCGAAGATTGAATTTAAGATCTATTTGTAAATGAAATTGTAAAATACAATATGGAGGCTATGCAGTAGCGTATAAGTTATACCAAAGATGATTTATACAGTGTTATTTTATGTATTCTACGAGAGTATAACTTATTCGTTTACAATAAAATTGTGTACAGATATTTGATTCGTTTATGATTACATTTATGAGTCTTATTCCACGTGTTCCTTCAAGTCGTTTAATCAGTCGTATGCGTGTTTATATTTCATTTTATAATCGCTTAATATCAACGATTTAAAAGTAATTTTTGATTGAGTGGATTTTCTGGAGATTTCATCCATTCCTTTTTCAATATTTGTTTTAATTGACTTAACCTCAGAGTAGGGTTTTGCTCTTTAATAATAGGCATCATTCTTTCCTCAAAACTAGCATACGCTGCTTTTACACGTTTCTCTGGATGACGATCAATCTCAGCTTCTTTAGTACTACGTAACAAATAATAACAATATATTTTCAATAATGTGAAACAATTGCTCTCATTGAAAATGTCAGCATCTATCTTACCTTAATACGGATAAAGCTTCGTCTATACCATGAGCGGTTTCACCTTCTATCGTCAGCCTATTCAAATTCTCTTCAATTGGTTTTTCTTCTTCTCTTTTTTTCATTGCTGCCTGATTTCGCTTTTCCGTCGCAGCAACTATTTCTGCTCTAGTTACTTTAGCTGCTGGCTGTTTACCACCCACTTTTATGTTTGCCATTTCCTTTTCAAGCAGAGCTTTTACCTCTGCTTTCTTTTCTAATTGTTGTTGACGTTTTCTTTCAAATTCTTCCTATAAAATATTTTGTAAGTTACTAAACAAAATATTGAATTGCGAATTATTAAATAAATAAATATCATACAGGTAATAAAATTTAACAAGTACTATTCAAATACCTGTTTTTGCTTCTTTTTTAATAACTGTTTATCATCGTCTTGCCAAGCTTTTTCTTCCGCTTCGAGAGCTTTCTTTGTATTTTCAGCTTCTTTCGCCGCTGCTTTTCTAGCTCGAGCAGCGACGGCCTTGCTATTTTCACCGACAAATTTTTTGGGCATCTTGACCTGCAAATTTTATCATAATCACAGTGCGAATTAAAAATCTGCTGATAATAGTTTTATCATTAATTATATCATTTTGTAATCAGTTTATTTAATTATGAAATTATGTAAATTATAATCGAAATATTGTCACAGATGAAAAAACCGGCAAGGTCAAACAATTTGATAAATCGCGCCAACATAGTGTTTTACTGCGGTTTAGTTGGCAGCACAGCGCTACACGTGCGCAGACGTCTCGGTCAATCAAAGATGTTGAGGTTAAAGAATCATCGGAATCATTATTAACTAACAGCCATCTACGTCTGAAATATAATTCGGGTGATTTTCAAATTGTAAATGACTCGTTACTTCGACAATACGTGTCTGCGTAGAAAACTTTTGCAATATCTTGCAAATACTCGCGAAATGTCGAAGCAAGGATCAAAGAAAGCTGGAAAAGGTCAGAAAGCTACGGTTAACGAGGTCAGTGAATTATAAAAATCGTAACTTACCAACTTCCGTTGAGAGGATTAGAATTTAATATGTGATCGAGATTTGATCACCTATTAAGAAAATAACATGACATTTTCTATGGTACACCTTTAACTTATATTTAACACTACTAGGTGTCGCTTGCGAATTCACGAATGGCAACATTGTATTTGTAACTCACTAGATGTTCTCTAAACGAATGCCAATTTTTTTCGAATTTCTTAATTAAAGAAGAAAAGCTATTGGTAATTCAATGATACTATAAGCGCGATGTATGATTAATATCATAGATATGTTTTCTATAATACAATATTTTAAATAGACATCCATTTGAAATTTAAAATTACATTGCGTCCTTGAATGTTTATAACAAACAGATCAATTTTGGTAGGAACCTAAGGGGCCTGTAAGTTTAGATAAAAGTGGGAATGTTACCATAAAAATTCAAGCAAAACCTAGCGCGAAACATAATAATATAACAGGTGAAAATATGTTGCAATATTTAAAACAGAATTAAAAGTAGGATATCAGATGTACGTGGAGATGTAAATTGCTTTGTAGATATTTCTGAGGATGCAGTGGGCGTCGCAATATCCGCACCTCCGGTCGAAGGTGAAGCAAATACGGAACTCGTGAAATACTTAGCTTCCGTATTGGGAATGAGGAAATCCGACGTATCGTTAGATAGAGTTAGTTTAATTTCCATTAATTAAATTTTGAGTTTTTTTTTTTTTTAATTTTTAATTTAAACGCTCATCTTTTATAGGGTTCTAAAAGTCGACAAAAGGTCGTAATAGTGTCTGGAACCACAGTGGAAAAAGTTCTGGAAAAATTAAAGGGAGAAATGGGAACCTGAGAATAACAGCAAATAACAATTACCGTACTTTTGTTCTTTGTTATAAACAGCTACTTCTTTTTTTAGTGCATATAATGTTCTCTCTTCACTTTGATAAGTCATATTTATTGTGCATAAATATAGCAATCACGTCTATGTTTAAACATGATCAATTAATCTATACAATCGAAAAGTAACTTTTTACAATTGTAAAAGTAGTTTGTTAATAATTTTCATTCATGAAATATATG